TTAGGAATGAACATTTGTACATTACTATTAACTAAACTAGGGAATTTATCAGATTTCCTCAGTTTTCCCTGAGGTCTTTTGTGCTATTCCAGCATCTCATTTGACATCTTGCATTATGGTTGGTCACCTGTGCGTCCTAAGCAATGTGTTCTCTAAAAGTTTATCAGCCTTCTTGGTCCTTAATGGCCTTGATAGTATGAAGATGCACTGAAAAGTTTTTTGTAGAATGTTCCTCAATTTGGGTTTGTCCAGTGTTTTTCTCATGATTAGTATGGGAACATCTCTCTTTGAGGGGAAGACGAGAGACATGAGGTTTCCCTCTCACCACGTTACCTGAGGGAACTACAAATAGTTCAAGGAAAAAAATAGAATTAAAGTATGAGTGTATTTTTTGTACAAACAATTTTTGAAATCCATGCATAGTTTTTTCATAATATGCATTCTCCGTGTCTTTTTGAAGACTCTTTGAGTCAAAGGATTTTGCTGTCTCCATGAAGTTGACCTTGATCAATTGGTAGAGGTAGTGTGGGCTGGGTTTCTCCACCAAGAAGTTATATTTCCCTCCTTTTCATATTTTACTCTTTGGAAGCAAATACTAAAGACATCTTAGGTGTATAGATGGGGTATTAAGTTGTACCACTTGAAAAGAGGAAGTGTCTACATAGATTTTTGGCATTTCTCTGTGGAGGATTTATACCTTCTGTCTATTTATTTATGTCTGTGTGGATATTTAAAATACTTTGAGATATATTCCAATGTGGCATGGTGTTTGCAAGTTATCTCTATGTATTTAAATCTTATTTTATTCCATTGGGAAATTCAGAGAGGTTAATAATCCTATCTGTCACTTAGAATTTTATGGAAAATAGCTCTTTCTATTTCTGCCTATGCCCTTTTTTCCCTCAAGGTTGAAGATGAGTCAATGGTAATAGGGCCAATTTCTGAGATAACAGACACATTGTTTTATTTGGCATTCCTTTTTTCCCACCTAAAACTTTCTTTCCTTCTGCTAACCATCTGTTCAGGAAATTCCATAATAATCTCCTCTGAGTAGAGTCTTACACATTCTAAAAAAATTCAATCCTTTAGCAAAACATCCTCCTTTCACTGAACATACCACAAATAATATCTCCATATTTTCATTATAATTAAGATGGTAGTAAATATTAGACTTGCAAATAATGAGAGAGTGTCTAAAATCATTAAGGTTACTTGCTAAAATATAAATTAATCTTTGTGAAAAATCTTGTACTCAATGGGGACATTATAAAGATTAAGCATATTTAATGTTCATTATACATCAAGAAATCACTAGATCACTAATTCTGCTGCTTTTTGTCTGCCGTAAGGTTAGTAGTAGAAGGAACCATGAGAGAAACATCTGTGTGAACTTGAGGTAGGCCAGGATTTCTTAGGTTAATTTCCAAAAACACAAGCTATAAAAAGCAAAGTAAAAAAAGATAAATAGAAAAATTATCTCTTTGGAAAACATTAATGTGGAAAGAAAGAATGGGCCACAAACTGGGTGAAAATATTTGTAAAAAACATATGTAGCACAGGATTTATATTCAACCCAGTGAAAAGGGAAATACACAAAATATTTGAGCAGATACTTCCCAAAACAAGATATATACTAAAGGCCAAAGGACACACCAAAAAAATTTAATAGCATTATCCTTTTGTGGAAATTAAAATTACAAAGAGCTATCACTATCCAATGTAGAATAACAACAACAAAATGAAATAAATAAATAAATATAACAACACCAAAAAACAAAGCCACACATACACTAATCTCCCTAGTGTGTGTAGTGTTTATTAAATAATATAAGCAATTGTATTATACTATTTGGAAAATAGTTGTCACAAGATTGTCTTGTATCACAAGATTATCAATTTCACTGTAAGGTGTTTACACAAAAGAAATGAATACACATGTCTACAAAAGGATAAATACACAAATATTTGGTATGGCTGTATTTGTAATTGCCCCAAACTATAAACAACACAATTTCAATCAACAGATGATTGGATAAAGAAATTTGGTCCTCCACGAAAAGATATACAACTTTTAAAAAGAATAGACTACTGAAATATGCAACAATATGACTGATGTTTTTCTTTAAGGTTATTGCTATAGGGCAGATGTGCTTGCAGGAGAGAGACAGAGACAGAGAGAGGGAAAGTGAGAAATCGCCCCCCCCCCGAGGTAATGGCCACAATGCAATCCCTTCCCTGTTCTCTTAAGATTTCAGGTGCATGCACACACACACACACACACACACACACAAACATGTGCCTGGCGTGATTCTCAGCTGTCATGTCTGGGACTCGAACCACAGACATCCATGAGTGAGTCCACCTTAACTATTATGCCACCTGCTGACCTCCATGTTAGTGAATTTAAAAAGAATTTTGTTGAGTGAGATAAGCTAGATTCAAATGTGTTCTTACTGTACATTTCAATTGATATGAAATTCTAAAGACGACCAAAAGAAAACAAAAAACAAAAACCTATATTGACAGAAAGCATGTCAGTGTTGCCTGAGAGCAAGAGGGGGAAACTGGATGAAGCACATATCAGGTAAAGTTTTGAGGTGATGAAAATTTTTGAATTGGGTGGTGGTTATACCTGTTCATAACATTTGTCAAAACTTATCTAAAAACATACTTTCAAAAGACTGTTCTATATTTTTGACTTGGGTGGTGGTTATACCTGTTCATAACATTTGTCAAAACTTATCTAAATACATACTTTCAAAAGACTCATTATATGTAGGTATGTTATATCTAATAAAATCAATCTAAGAAAAAACATGGACTGGAGGAGGGATAACCTACAAATTTAGAAGTATTTTCTAAAAATAGTAATAACAAAGAAATGAATCATTTCTTCTAAATTAAACAAATAGAATTCTAGAAACCACTATACATAAGAAGGTGATATTCACAAGAATATCTTTTTTATGCTCAAAGTAAATACTTGTTTAAATTTTATTACTGAGCTTAAAGATCAGATTTAACATTGAGCTGAATTTAGGAAAATGATAGAGAATTTAGTCCATGTAAGATAGAAATAGGGAAAGTATCAATTTAAAGTATTTTCAGAGTAATAAAAATGTTAGGTTCACATTACTTAGTCATCTAGTATTAGAGAGAAGTAGGGTATCTCTTCCTTACTAAACCTTAGAACTAGAAATGCAGGTTAAAGACACTTGCTAGTATTAGAAGACTGGGGCCAGCAGGTAGTGTTAAGGCCCTGTTCTCCCACAGTTGTTTCAAATCCTGGACCCAGCGTCCTGCTTTCACACTTTCTCTCTCCCTGCCTCTCTGGTGAATGCATGTGCCCTGTAGCAAATTAAAAATTATAATAATGATAAATACAATTAAATAATTCTTCAAAAGAAATTACAAGTCTATCTAGTGTAGTCTCCAGTGAGTCAATACACATGAGACATAAGGAGATTGCCTTTTTTACGGAATACCTCTTCTGTTTTTCCATGAGATTTTCTTTTTCTTTATCTTTCTTTCTTTCTTTTTTTTTTTTTTTAATTATTCAGAGGGCACATGGACTGCTGGGGGTGGGGGGCAAGAAAGCACCTCCATTGCACACGGTCACACTGCGTCTTTCCCTTTTTTTCTCTCTCCCTTTTTTCAGGACTCTGGGTGTGTCATCTCGCACACATGCTGGGTGTGCTTCTCACACTGCAGGGTCGGAACTGGAACTAAGAAGTCAGCCTGGGATCCAGCTACCTCTACTACCATTCTGCATGCTGGCCTGATTATTACTTAGTTTTTACATAATTTCCTCCTGTAGACATTTTAACTCAGTGAGCAGCAGCTTTTTATCAGTTTTAAAAATAGATGTGGTACATGTTATTTGAAAATTATATAGGCTATCCTGGTTATGTTCATAGTTCTTCTCCTTGGTTTGTGTGGGAGGCGGTCCGAAGTAATCCGGTTTAAATGGACATTGAAAATGTGTCCAGTTCATTATACACATAAATGAACTGAAATACCTTTGACAAGAGACGATGATTGTGTAGCACTTGCAGCGTCAATTCTTTAAATGTATTCTTTTGTTGAACTTAGATCAGGTTAGCCTAGCTTGTCACTTGTTCTCATTGCAATCAAGGTTCATTTATTCCGTCACTAATCTTTCCCACATTTTCTGTATCTGTGTGCATGCATTTTTGGAAACTAAGCTGAAAAGTGTAGGTGTGCCTTCTAAATGTTTTATTTGCTTAGCTCTTTACATGGAAGAATTCTGCTGAGATAATAGGTTAAGAAAATAATTAACTTTTGTTGCTAATTATTAGTATATTTTTCTTACTTTTAGAAATATAAATGAATGCTGACCTAACCTGCATTTCATTTTTCAGGCTAATCTCTTATTTAAAAAGTTTTAATTGACTATATTTTTTAAAGGACTAGAGAATAGCAATAGGAACATGCCAATGATTGTCTTACATTTGTGTAAAGTTTTTCTCTCTATGTGTGTGTTTGGCAGAATATGAGAAAGGATGTAAAATGTCAGGGGCTCTGAATATAAGACTTTAAAAAATTTATTATTTACTTAGTTTTCAATTGTACATTAATGTCAGATATAGCTAACATAAAAGAAACTGGGTGCAATAATTTGGGTCTTTTTAGAAGAAAAATATAAAATATGAGTCATTATGGACATATTATCATTTAATTTTCAAAAAGAAAAAAAAAACATAAATTAAACAAAGGTAATGCAACCTACCACCCTAACACAACAGTAACACTATTGTAGTTAATGAAATGCAATTAAGACTTACATGGAGAATGATAACTTGGCTAATTTCCCAGATAACTAACTACTTGTTTATACATAAGGAACGATTTAATATAAAATCATTATTTGAATTTTTATCTGTCCATATTTTTAAAATATTAGCGAGGATCAGATTTTGTATTATTAGTAATAAATATCATGAATGGCCTACTTTAATTCAAGTTTGCTGTCCTTGCAGAGTGCAGAGCTGAGTCCAGCGAGCAGCACCACCTCACTTCCTGTTAGTCCTCTGACTGAAGAGCCAGTGCCTTTCAAGGTAAAGAAACAAAACAAAAACAAAAGTCAACACACACAAAAGAATTATTTGTAATAGTTTTACTATAGTTATAAATAGTTTATGCATGGATCGCAAGGATGAACATACACACACAAAAGAATTATTTGTAATACTTTTAGAAAAGTTATAAATAGTTTATGCATGGATCGCAAGGTGAGCTGCTTTCATCTTAAGGATCTGATTTCAAATCTTAATCTTTGTTTTCTCTGTCATTCTGCTGCCAGTTAAAGGGAAAGTTTAGAATGAAAATGGCTACTGAAAAGTTGCTTGCCCTACATGTGAGAGGTGGATATGTTTTTGTAACCATTTGGTTCACATGATTTAGAGGCTCCAAATTTTTGATGTTACTTTAAGTCATCAGTTTAGAATGAGTAACTCAGTTATCATCTAGTGGTAAATGCTCATTAGCAAGGCTAGTGAACAAGGCTAATTCATGGTTATTACCAAACAGTAGTCAAAATCAAGAACTGAAATGTGGAATCTTTTCCATAAACACATTCTGTTTATGAAGTGTTATTAAGAAAATCTGCTAATACGTATTTATGTGATATGACTAGTAGCATTCTTCATTTGGGAAAGCTTTCTATATTGCAAATAGGAAGAATCTTGTTTTAGCATTTAAGATTAGATATTTCATTTAAACTGAAGCGTGTAGATCAACTATTTGATATTTATATCAAGGATGTTTGGATTTAATTAGGAGTATTAAAATAAAGGCAGTTCTTAAGAGAATGAAGAATGAACTGGGAAAGTTGTGATGATGCACTTAATTTTAAGTGCCGTGGTTTTATTTCAAGGCTGGGAAGGGTTCATTAAGAATTTCATGATGGTTGTATATTTTTTTATATAATTGTATAAAATTGTTGATTTTCTTTTTCATACAAGGATTATCTCTTATTCAAGTTTATATTGATTACACCTGGTACAAGGGCTGTCGTGGATTTCCATATACACAGTATTTGCTGTTTTATTGAAATAGGCATGAGGAAAGGAATTAAGAAAAATAGAGAGGCACACAGAATTGGACTGCTCTCTGTTGGTGACCATGTATAGCATCCAGGATAGACCGTTGTGAGGTGTACTCACATTGGCTGGATTCACTGTACAAGGTAAATGATGTACTGTGACTGAACGTAAAAAAGATAATTCAATTTTTTTTTTGGATAGGTTTTTTGCTATAGGGTGCGTGAATTCTCCAGAAAGACAGAGAGAGACAGAGAGACCGAAAGTGAGAAATCACCCCCCCTCGCCAGGGGGATAGTCATGCCTCAGTCCTTTCTCCTCCATTCTCCTCTCAGGATCCTGGGTACGCATGCACACACGCCCAGCATGAGTTTAAGCCACCGGGTCTGGGACTCGAACTGTGGTTGACTACATGGGAGTCCAGCGACATAGCCATTATGCCAACTACTGGTCCCTGTGAATTAGAATTTTTAAAAGAGAAAAAAAAATTATATATATATATTTTTTTTTTGAGAGGTTTTTGCTATAGGGCGCGTGCGCTCACCAGACAGACAGAGAGAGACATAGAGACAGAAAGTGAGAAATCACCCCCCAGGGGGAATGGTCACACCGCAATCCCTTCTCCTCCATCCTCCTCTCGGGATCTTGGGCATGCACGTACACGTGCCCTGCGTGAGTTTTAAGCCACTGGGTCCGGGAAGCAAACCGCAGTCGACTACGTGGGAGTCCAGCGACACAGCCTTTACACTAACTGCTGGTCCCAAAAAATATTGTTAAAGTAAAAAAGTTATAGAAGTTTCTGAATTTCATTGAGTGTCTTTCATTATCTAATTATGGATGCTTTTTTGCTTGATAATAGATGAATAATTGTCAGTCACATTTTATCAGAGAACTGTTAAATACTGGACAGTATTTCCCTTGCATTATTTGAGAAATATTTCCTTCATATTGTACAATAAATGAGAAAATAATATCTATGCTACAATGTTGAGTGGTATTTGAGGATTTTCCTCTTATGGTATATTGTACAAAATTTACTGAAGCTTATGTTTAACAAGATTTTAATTAAATTCTCAGGGTGTCACAAGAAACCATTTTCTGTCTTTAATATGTTGATAATGACCACAGTCCTAGAAAATTAATGTTATTTTTTAATGGAGGTAAAAAAAAAGGTCAGATATGTCTGAAAATCTGGTAGGATAAAACTAATATAAATAGAATTATTTTAGTGAGCTTCTTTTACTAACTATAAGAGATCAATATTGTTTCTTGATTACTGTACGTAAGTGGTTATATAAACAATTATAATTCCAAGTGCTTATAACAAGTATTATTGGCATTCAGTGGCTTTTGGTTTACTTAATTTGTGAATGTAATATTATTTATATTTTTGAAAAATAATTATAATCTATAAAACCATCTCAGTCATTTTTAAAAATCAGAAAATTTGAAATTATTAAATAAAACTAGGTTCTGCTTCATTTTTAGTTTATAAATTATTTTGTAAATGAGTAATAAAATACTTATTTATCATATGTAAGCACAAAATATTTAGAGATTATTTTGAGTAGTACATACGTAGCAATATACTCTAGCTATGAGACTTCCTGGGGTCTGCCACTTCCCAGCTGTGTCACCTTCATCGACTTTCTCTGTGCCACAGTTTCTTCATCTATATAATGACAACAGCAATTACTTCTTCCCTGAATTCTAGTAACTTGAACAAACAGGTTAATAAGTAGAAAGTGCCTTAAATAGTACATACTCAGCAGTTTACAAGTGTTTGTTTGTTTGTTTGTTTGTTTTCTTAGTTTTGCCATAGGACATGCGTGATTTACAGAGAGGGATAGAAAAAGAGAGGGGGGGGGAAGGGGAAAGGGAGAAATAACCCCCAAGAGGATGGCCGCACTGCGGTCCCTTTTCCATTCTTCTCTTGGACACACACACACACACACACACACACACACATGCATGCACACATGTGCGCCTGGTGTGTTTTTCAAGCCACCAGATCTGGGTTTCAAACTGTGCTATGGGCCCTATGGGACCCAGTTGCCTTAACCAATACACTACCTGGCTGGCAACTATTCTTTTATGAAAACAAGATTCCCATGTATAAGCCACAAGAGTCCATTTGTTATAGATAATATGAAGCTGAAGTCATTTCAGTCAACCCCTTGTATTTTATTTTCAAATGTGAGAGGAGAAATGTATTTTACACATAAATCTTTTATTTTGATGAATGTTAGTGTTTAATATTCGTTCCTGCAAGTCATGCTGCTTATTTTATACCCTGGAGTACTCAGTTGAGCTCATATATCAGATTACTCTTATGAAAAATAATTAATGGAAATGTTCATTAATTGTGAGGGAAAAGGAGTAAATATAATGAATTTGTCTTGAGGGAAAAACTGGTAAATATATCAAAACATAATACTTCAGAAAAAGAAATGCATAATAGCATCCATACCAATAAGGATATGTGGTATCTCTTTATCAGTAATACACTGCAGTAAGTTTTTCTTTAATTCCCCAAGCCTTCATGGCAAGGTAAATAGGTAACCTCCTAAGTGCAAACCCTCCACTAAAGAAACAATTCTCGATCGCTTTAGAGTATGGGGAAAACCCCACTGTGAATACACTGTTGTTATTTTATTCTTTCATATGTTACAACAGCAATATAGTGAGTAATTTCCATTTATTTTTATATAAAACTATCATAATGAAAGAGTGAATCTTGGAGACTCTGAGAAAGGAATCGAATCATGGCATGACCTCTACAGCATCAGTTGTTACCTCTCCTGCATAGATTTGTGTGTGTGTGTGAAGAGATTTTTTTATCATCACTTTGCATTTATTGAATTTAATTGTTTCTGTTGGAAGTATTTTTATTTATTATTTTTTGATATTCCACATAGAGCCTGCATGGAATATCCTTTCATTTCTGGTCATTTTTAAAACTAGGCCACTTTTATTCATTAATTTATTAATGAATCAGTTTATTGTGTACTCGCTATGGGCCAAGAGTATTCTAAGACACTGGTGCCCCCCTGTAAACTACATAGACTAAAGCCCTGCTTTCATACGGAGTTCTAGTGAGGATAAAAGACAACAGGCAAATAAACATGTAAGATGTCAAGTAGGGGAGATAAATGTTGCGATGAAAAATAAAGCTGGCTTTGGAGACTAGAAAGTGATGCTGAAGGGTGTTACTGTTTCCACAGGAGGTGCAGAGAAGACCCCTCTGGTTAGGGCACATGATAGCAGAGATCAAGATGAAGAAAAGGATAAGGTCATCACCTATCTATGGGAAGAGGTTTAAGAGAGAAGGGCATGAGGCAAGAGAATACTTGGCCTTTTTAGAATCAGCAAGGCATGGTAACTAGAGGAGCGTGAGTTAGGGACAAGTGAAAAAGGCCAGGTCAGAGAGAAAGCTTATCGTAATAGGCTGCGTAGACCCTGGAAAAGACTCGAGATTTTTCTTTCCATGTGACAGGGAGCCAGTAGAGTATTTTAGGAAAAAGAAAGTGACATAATCATGCTTTATTTTAAAACTGTGACTCTGGCTTCTTTGTCAGTAGAGATAGGAAGGAGACATGTTATAAGGAACTCAATGCTCCTAAAGTTGAGGGGATACCAATTTGTCCAATATTGGGTCCATTTTGAATGTTGAGCCAGTGGGATTTGTTAACAGATTATATGTAGAATATCTTCGAAAGTGAAAGATGATTGCTAATTCAGATGTTCTCTGCTTTCCTATTTTTACATCTTAAGCTATCTGTCTAAGGTGGCAAGTGGATAGATAACGTGAGGAAGATTAATGCATCCTTGTTTGTTTTGTGTAATCGTGGCAGTAATAACATAGCAGAGAGACTGAGCATAATGGCAGATGATGCTGGTTTTACTAGGGCTCATATTTAAACCTATCACTAATGCTGATTTGGGGCACTCTGTTTTCTCAGATTACTGAAAAGCACACAGGCAAAACAGACTTGACTCATAATTGGAGATGAATT